CCTGTGCACTGAGTCCCGCCTGCGTGCGGGGCCGCGCCGCGCGTCCTCGCGCTCATCCCACGGTGGTCCTCCCGCCCGCCCGCAGGCCCGACACCCCCTGCCCACCCCTCGCTGAGTGGAGGAGACGTCTGCTGGGGACGGGGTGGGGGCGGCGGCACCCCTCTCCGCGCCCTACCCCTCTGTGTTCTCCCCACTCCGGGCCATCACCTGGTCCCTCCGCGCCCTCTCCCCTCCGCGCCCTCCCCCTCCGTGCCCCCCTCCGTGCCTTTCCCCCTCCTTGCCCTTCCCTCTCCTTGTCCTGCCCCCGTCTCTAGCTCGCCCCTCTCTCTAGCTCTCCCCCCTCGCTAGCTCCCCCCTCTCTCTAGCTTTACCCCCTCTAGTTCTCCCCCTCTCTCTAGCTCTCCCCTGTCTCTAGCTCTCCCCCCTCTCTAGCTCGCCCCCCTCTCTGCCTGCCACTCTTGGGGGGAGGGAACTTGATCATTTGAGGCTCTAATGGAAGCAGAGCGCCTCCCCAGAGCTCTTGGAGCCCAGCCTGGGCCTGGTTTAGAGCAAATGGCAGATGCCAGACTGCGGTTCTAGGGAACCCTGCCCCCCCTTGCTTTTAACCTTTCCCCACAGCTACCTGGGCCACTGCGGCGGCCCTGAGCCCTGTGGCACCTTTTTCTGCCGGTGCACCCCCTCTTCCCCCATCAGGGCAGACCCCATCTGAGGGCTCAGCTTCTCACCCCAGAAGGTGCCCCTCAAGCCCAGGCTGGACCCTGTGGACCAGGGCTGCAGAGGTGACACTTTCAAGGCTGCATTGTATTTCCCTCACCTCAAATAGCAACCAAGCATGCTGCGTGCAAAGACCGAGCTGGGGCCTAGGCAACCTCCCCATCCCCAAGCCAGCTCCTCCCGGACTGCCCTGCTGCCCAGCCAGTCCTTCCAGGGACACTCCAGGGCCAGAGGTGGCCCATCACCCTCTGCAGCCTGTGGGTGCCAGCAAGCTGAGACCCCCCGCTCCAGTGCCCCCCCATGGCTCTGGATGATGGGGGGTGTTGCAGGCCCAGGTGAGAGCTGCAGCCCCTGGGGGTCGCGGCCATTCAAGGCAGGGAGAGGTGGCAGGGCCCAGGCAGCCCGGAGCCCACGGACAGCCCCATGCCCCCTGGCCCTGCGAACCTGCTCTTCTTCAGCAACAGGACAGCCTTGTGCCCCGCACACACCCCTTTCCACGCCCTGCCCACGGAGGCCTCGGCCCTCGCCCACTCTGGGGCCTGCTCTGGCCCCTCTGACCCGAAGGCCACTCCCCCATCCAGCCTGCCACCAGTCGCGTTCTCGCGTGACCTGGGCGATAAAGAGACCTGCCTTCCTTTTACACAGATGCTTCTTTAATGCAGCCAAAAATGATGTTTGCTTTTCTCAGAACCAGAACCATACAGGATGCAGCGACCAATACATTCCCAACAGCACCCGTGGGCTCCCCAGGGGCCGGAAGACACAAGGGACATCCAGCCCCCAGGGGCACCATGGGTGGCCCGGGCCTGCAGCAGGCAGGGCCAGGGCGGGAGGAGGGCAGGAGGGGGGGCTGCACATCAAGCGCCCTCAGGCAGTGGCAGCGCGTCGGTTGTCCTGGCAGACTGATGGCTTGGGGGTGGGGAGGGGACGCGTGCAGGCCTGTGGTCAAACTTCTGCTTGCCCCCTCCCAGGGACCCCTGCGCCCGGGGCCTCTTTGGTCACCTCCTTTGCAGGGGCAGGAGGGAGGCGGAGGTAATGACTCTGTCAGTTCTCTTCTGCCTGGCTCCGTGTGCAAGCGCAAGAGCAAGCGAGGGGCTCAGGCCCTGGGGCACGAGCATTCAGCAGGGCCGGTGGCAGGGGGGAGGCGGGGCAGTGCCCGCTCCTCCACCCCCCCCAGCCCTCCTGGTCTGCCCCCCCACCCCTGCCACATCCCAGCTCTCGGCTCGCGCTGGCCCTGGGGGTCATTGCCGGTTTCTGCTGCCCAGCTTCCGGCGGTCCTTGTTCTGGCTGCGCTGAGGGTCTTCCATCTTGTGGACTCGGAAACATTCCTTGAGGTTCTGGGAGCGGATCTTGGGGTTCAGGATTTCCTCTGTCATGGAGCTGGGGAACCAGCCTCTCTCCTGGTCATGCAGGCGCTCGCCAAAGATCCAACCTGCAAAGAAGCAGGGGCTTGGTCTCCGCGGCTCTGGCGGGGACAGTGCGGGGCCTCCCTCCTCCCCTCCCCCTCAACTCCCGACTGTGAGGAGGAGGCTGCATCGCTCAGCACACCGCTCCTCACACTGGGAGTGGGTGTGCCCCAGCAGCACCTCCCACAAGTGGGGACTGCAAGCTCTGAGTCCTAGGCTGTCCCCCAAGGGGGCCAGGACCCCCCAAAGATCTCCCAGAAAGAGAGTCTGCCAAGAGGCCATGGGCGGCCACTGAGGCTTCAGCGGAGCTGTGAGGTGGCGCTCTTTCAGGCCAAAGCTGGGCAGCGGCCGGCCGAGGCCATCTCCCACAACGCTGGCCACACGCGATCAGAAATGTCTTGGTTTTCTCTTCTGCCTTCTCTCTCCTCCTTTCCCTCCTAGAGGGAGGTGTGTGTATGTGTGTGTGTGTGTGTGCACGTGTGCGTGTACACTCGCCCCAGTACTGGGAATTGAACTCTGGGACTCTTGCCATGGCTGGTGCTCTACCCTTTGATCCACACCTTCACTTTCAGCTTTTTGCTGGTTAATTGGAGAGAAGAGTCTAGCAGATTTGTCTGCTGGGCCGGCTTTGAACTAGGATCCTTAGATTTCGGCTTCCTTAGTAGCTAGGATTAGGCGTGAGCTGGGGAGCAAGTGTCCCCACCCAGGCTGAGGCATCTGGAACCTGGGCACCACACCCCCACGCCCCCCACGGGTCACGCAGGAGAGGCACTGGGCTGTGTGCTCTGGGGGGCATGGAGAGCGGCAGAAGAGCCCTAGCACTTTGGGAACAGGGTCCCCCCCCAAGGGACTTGGTGGAGAAGGGATAAGAGGGAAGGCTTCCGTACAGCCCTGCGAGTTTGAGCTCGAGCAAGGGCAGCATGATTTTAAGAAGGAAAGGGGTGGAGTGGGGGGGGCTGGGAGAGAGCAAGGGATGGGGTGACATTGTCCAAATAGAAATATCCTCTTTACCTGACCTGAGTACTGTGACCCCTTTGTACATAGTAACAATAATAGTAACAATTTAAAAAATGTAAAGAAGGAAAAAGGGGCCAAACACTAGCAGCTACTTCTAGCTGCTCAGGAGGCTGAGAGCAGAAGGATCATGGTTTCAGGCCAACCAGATTTGGGGCTGGGAATGCGGCTTAATGGTAGAATGCTGGCCTAGCATGCATGAAGGCCTGGGTTCCACTCCTCAGCACCACATACACAGAGAGTGCCAGAAATGACGCTGTGGCTTGAGTGGTAGAGTGCTAGCGTTGAGCAGAAGAAGCAAGGGGATAGTGCTCAGGCCCTGAGTTCAAGCCCTGGGACTGGAAAAAAAATAATAAAATAAGCAGATTCATCTTGATGATGTGTTCCTGAAACGCAAATAAGGTGCAATCTCCATGCAGCGCGTAGCCTCACGCACATGGCCCCTCTGCCTCCGAGGAGCACGAGATGCTGCTGATAGGCAGAAGGCAGGTGAGCACACGGCCAGTAGCCAGGGACGAGATACCCGTGTCTCATCAAGGAAACCGGATCTGACAGATGAGCAAGCGCACAGCCCACGCTGTGGACTCTTATCTCCCACAAACAAATCTTTAAGTATGGAGCTGTCAAACATATTAAATGAATACTTATTAATAAATCTCATGTCTCTAGCTCAAAAATAAAAATACCAAATTGTGGTTATTTTTTTAAATAATGTTTTGAAAAATAATTTTTTTTTTTTGCTGGTCCTGGGGCTTGAACTCAGGGCTAGGGCACTGTCCTTGGATTATTTTGCTCAAGGCTAACACTCTATCATTTGAGTCACAACACTACTTCTGGCATTTTCTGGGTAGTTAATTGGAGAGAAGAATCTTACAGACTTTCTTGCCCAGGCTGGCTTTGAACTGTGATCCTTAGATCTTAACCTCCTGAGTAGCTAGGATAACAGGTGTAAGCCACCAGGAGCTGGTTGAAAAAAAATTTTTTTTTGTCAATTATGGGACTTGAACTCTGGATCTGGGTGCTGTCCTTGAGCTCTTAGGCTCAAGGTGAGCGCTCTACCACTTGAGCCACAGCGCCACTTTCAGTTTCCTGGTGGCTAATTGTAGATAAGAGTCTCACGGATTTTCCTGCCCGGACTGGCTTTGAACCACGATCCTTGGAGCTCAGCTTCCTGAGTAGCTAGGATTGCAGGTGTGAGCTACCATCGCCTGGCTGAAAAAATATTTTTGAGGAAATATAAGGCTGTAGGCATGACTCAAGTGGTAGAGCACCAGTTAAACAATCTCAGTGAGCCTAATGCTCTGACTTCAAATCTCAGAAGAAAGAGGAGGAAGAGGAAGAAGAGGAGGAAGAGGAGGAAAATGAGGAAGGGAAGGAGGAGGAAGAGGGGGAGGAAGAAGAGAAAGAAAAGGGGGAAGAGGAGAAGGAAGAAGAGGAAGAGAAGAGGCAGAGGAGAAAGAAGAAGAGGAAGAGGAGGAGAAAGGAGGAGGCAGAGGAAGAGAAGGAGGAGGAAGAGGAGGAGGAAGAAGAGAGAGAAAAGGGGGAAGAGGAGGAGGAAGAGGAGGAAGAGAAGAGGCAGAAGAGAAAGAAGAGGAAGAGGAGGAGAAAGGAGGAAGAGGAAGAGGAAGAGAGGGAGGAGGAAGAGGAGGAAGAAGAGGAAGAGGAGAGGGAAAAAGGAGGAGGAGCTGGTGTTGAGGGGCAGGAACAGGCTTCACAGATGGGCAGGGTGGAAGTGGTGCTGTGGCTCAAGAGGTAGAGCTCACACCTTGAGCAGAAGCAGCTCAGGGACAGTACCGGGGAGGGGGGAGGGGAGGAGGAGCTGGTGGTGGTGGTGGTAGAAGCAGTAGCAGGGTCCAGGGGGGGTGGAGGGGCGGAGTCAGGCCGCGTGAGGCTGTCCTGGCCCTGCCCATCGCATGGGCGAGGCACTATGTGCCAGGCGACCCGCAGCTCTTGCAGCGCATGGTGGCGCCGAGGCCCTTCGGGCGCTGGTCTGAGCCTGGCCGGGAAGCCAGACTGTGCTCCCCACCATAGCACCCCTGGCACCCCGCCCCGCCCGCCCCATCCCTGGGCCTCACCATCCTCGGTTTTTTCTAGGATGTTCAGGATGTCGGCCAGCTCCAGCGTCAGCTCGTCGGGTTGCTGGGCCACGTAGGGGTGCACACACTGGACCTGGGGGCAGTCTGGGGAGGAGAGGTCATGGGTGGCTGAGCGCAAACTGAGGAAGGGCCTAGATGCGGAAGGGCAGAGCTGCAGGGAGGGCAGGGGTGAGGCGGGAGGGGCTCCTCGGAAGGACAGGAGGTTGGCCTCCAGAGGGCTCTGTCCCCTGGGCGTGCGGCGGAGCCCCTGCTATCTGCTGCCCGCGAGTATTTGGGGGTGAGGACAAGCAGGCAGAGACAGGAATAGCAGCTTTCTTGGCAGGCGGGCAGACCTGGTTTCCCCCCAACGCCCACGTTTGCGCCCAAGTGCTTCCTAGTGTGCTGTGGCGCAGCGAGCCCCAGCAGATGCCACCTCTCCCTCCGCCAGCCCCCTGGCCAGGCTCAAGCGGCCATTGTGTGGCGGTGCCCAGCTCTGGGTTAGCGCCAGGATGGGCTGGCAGAGGCGCCACTCACCCAGCAGCCGGGATGTGAAGGAAACAAACTTGGTTCTCCTGTTGGGGGCCAGCGAGGTCATCCATCGCTTCATCTCACTCCTAGAACGGGGACAGGCGAGCACACTGGCCTCAGAGCACAGCAGAACCCCACACGCCTCCCAAGACAGGGCTGTGGCCCCGGAATTAGTGTGGGGGACCCTCACCTGTGGGCTCTTCCCTGGGGAGTGCTCTTAAAAACCAGGCAGGAAGGGGCAGCCCTGCACGCACTCCCCAGCACATCCGTCCTCCCCAGCACATCCATCCTCCCCAGCGGCCGTGCGGAGGAAGCCACAGCTGCGGCAACCCAGGGTGGGGACAGGCCAGACTCCCCTCTCTGTGCAGGGCCGGTTCTGCCTAGGGAGGGCCTGCTGCAGGCCACACCTGCCAGGCGGGTGACCAGAAGCACGCGGCGGGTGGCAGGCACTCACTGGGAGGAGGCCTTCAGCATGTAGGTGGCCTCCCTGTCGTCCGCGTTCTCCAGCAGCCGCAGGATGAACACGTTGGCCAGCGTCTGGCCCTGGTCCTCCAGCTCCTCCACCCGCAGCAGGCCCCTCGGGGCAGAATCAAACACCTGGTACTTGTCTCTGGGGAGCAGGTGGAGGTGGAGTTGGCACGCTGGTCTCTGGAGGGTTCACTGGCTGGGTGGCCGACCTGGCCGCCTGCCCCAGCCACCACTCACCAGCTCTGAAACCCTCCTGCCCCCATGCCTGTCCCACCCCACAGTCTGGAGGGGGTAGGCATGCTGCCCACTCCCCACCTCCCCACCAGCAAATCCTCAATTCACAGGAGGGAAACTGAGGCCAGGGAGGTTCAAGAAAGGCCCAAGGCAGGACAAGAACAGAGAACTTTGCACCTGACTCCAAAGCCCAAGCGTTTTCAGCTGGCCTGGCCTGCCCAGTCCCCTCCCCCCTCAGCCACGGGCAAGGCCCACGGGCCATCAGCTCCGCTCACCCGGGGATCTGCCGGCAGATGACGAGCAGGTCGTTGAAGAGGAACAGGTAGATCTCACGGAAGAGCTTCTTGGTTCGCAGGGTGCGTGAGGTCTTGGGGCCCGACATCTGCTGCAGCTCCCCCTGCTTCAGCAGCCAGCGCGAGTGCGAGATGATGGGCACCGACTGTGGGGGGCATGGCGGTGGCAGGTGGGCGTTAGGTGGGCACCCTGCGCCCTCCCGAAGCTCCCAGAGCCGTGGCTGGAGTGGCACTAGAGTGACAGCGTGTGCGGCCCCTGTGCTCACGGCTACCTGCCAGGCTCCCGGACAAGATGCGGGGCATGGCAGCTGTTATGTGAGAACACGTGTCCGTGCGTGTTGTGTGCAGTGTGTCTGTACGGTGCATATGTAGTCACATGTGAACTTCTGAGCTCTCGAGTCCTTGTGCCTGTGTCCACATGGACTTGTTGATGTGCGTGTGTGTGGAGTCATCCTTGGGCCAGGCTCTGCAGGGTGGGTGTAGTCAGGGGAGAGGTAAGGCTGGGCCCCTGGGGCGATGGGCTGAGATCTGCCACCAGAGGGCGCTCTGTGAAGCGGCCAGTGAAGCGGCCCAGTGAAGCTGCACACCATGAATGCAGCCCAGTAGAGCTCAGCATCCAAACTGGGCATTTTGGTGGGCACCAGATACTCAGGTTCCAGGGGCTCTGGAATGCCTGAAATCTTGTGTAAAATCTGGGGAGATACCTGACAACTTGAGAATCCCCCAGACAGCCTATCACTACCCATAGAGGCTTGAGCTCCAAGTCCACAGGGACACACTGAGCAGGATGCCCCGGGAGGGGGCAGACTGGGCCCCCTGCACCTCTGGGGGAGGTCAGGCACCATCCTCCAGGCCCAGGCTGATTCTGGGACTCCCAGGCTCACCTTGATCTTAAACTCCATCTTCTTCTGAATGCTGATCATCTGCTCCGTGCGGCTCATCTTCCTGACGCCCTCATTGCAGGCCTTCACCACCTGAGGGGAGGAGGGGTATCAGCCCAGGCCCCCCGCCCGGCTGTCCCCTGGCACCTGTGAGCAGGCACTGTCTCTGAACCACTAGTTCCAGATGAGGGGGAGCCCCTGAGGCCTGGGGGACAACTGGTGCGCTGGCCCTGTGAGGCGCAGGCTCTGGAAACCCGTGACAAGGTGGGCCAGGCTGAGGAAGGGCCTGACAGGCCTTGGGCTGGCTTCTCCTTCATGCAGGGGGCACCCAGACACCCCACACCCCTGAGAGGCAGCCTGAAGCCAGAAGGCCTGGTGCCTCTGCTTTTCGAGGCCTTGCTCCACACTGGCTCGGGGTGACGGGGACAGAGCCGGGCTGTGCAGGGGCTCCGTGGGTGTACGTGGCAGAACCCCCTGCCGTGCTGCTCAGTGAGAACACACCACCCACAAAAGCGGCCATCGGAGACAGTCGGTCACAACAGTGGCGACATAGCCGCGTCACCGTGCACAAAACCCACTCTGCAGGCACTAAACCCAGGGTGAGTGTGATGCAGAAGCCCCACGCCCAGCTATATGCACGTGAGTATGTGTGTGTGTGTGTGTGTGTGTGCGCACGCGGAAACACATGACACGGGAGTGTCTGTTTGGGAGAACGAGGGACAGACGGCATGCCGTGTCAGCAGTGATAACAGAAACCACACATCTCTGCTATTTTCTTTCAGCCTTACAAATATTTTTTTTGCATTTTTTCCTATGAAGTATCAATTACTTCTATAAGTGAGAAAAATACCTTCCCCCCTTTTTTTTTGCCAGTCCCAGAACTTGAACTCTGGGCCTGAGTGCTGTCCTGAGCTTTTATCACTTGAGCCACAGCTTCTGTGGCTCCTTTTTCTTCTTTTTTAGTGGTTAATTGGAACTAAGCGTCTCGTGGACTTTCCTGCTCGGGCTGAACTGTGAGCCTCAGATTTCAGCCTCCTGAGTAAAAGTGCTCTCTTTTAAAGAGTTGAATAAGCCAGAACACTCTTCATTAAAAGGACAGCAGCTCACAGGGAAAGCAGCCTGACCCCAGGACTCTCCCAGGCCACAGCGGCTTCCAGCCAGGCTTCCGGGGCGCAGGAGCGAGCCGGTGGCAGCTGCAGGCCCAGGGAGGCCCTGCGTTCTGTGTCTCTCCCAGGCCTTCCTGGCCAGTGCTGCTCAGGCACCAGTGCCAGGATTTCGGTGGCAGCCTGGTCGGCTGAAGGCCGCGGGGGCAGCGCAGGGCAATGGCTGTGCCATGCGAAGCGGTGCTTGTGGACCAATGTGGTCAGACCACATGGATTGCCCACGCAGGGTGGTTTTCTCCACTGGCTGACAAAGGACTCCCCATACCCTGCCCCCATACTCAGGGGGGCAGCGACCCAAACCTGGCTCTCAGCCGCAGCTTTTGGTGGAGCCCAAGCACATCCAGACGGCTTGGATATAGGGCCAGCCACTGCCGGCTGCTCGGGGGATGGGGCTGTTGTCCGGGAAGGCCCAGGACTCCGGGTGGAGCCAGAGAGTCTGGGCTGGGCTCGAGAGCAGCCCCAGACATGGGGCCTGTGGACGGCACAGAGCTCCATGCAGGTGTCACGTCACCCGGGCGTGTGGACAGAGCGGGTGGGAGAGGCGTGGAGGGGGGTGGGGTGGAGAAGCTCTGCTCGAGCCCCGGCAAGGTGCTTTTTGCTCCAATGGCTTTTGTGGATTGCAAACGTGAGTCTGAAAGCAAGCTGCAGGCCCTAAGACACCGACAGAGGGAAGGCAGCCCAGAGGGGGGCAGTGGACACAGGGGACAGCGGGGGCAGCGGGGGGCAGCGGGGACGCACTGGCAGTGGCTGGCTGGGACGCACAGCAGGAGGAAGCAACTCACCATCTCCAGCTCCTTGTGGGCATCCAAGGCGGTACATTCGCGCTCAGACCTCTCTTCTACCCGCTTCAGAATGTTCTAGGCACAGCGACAGGCACCATTATTTCTCATCATTTCTGGCCTTTCCTCTCCCTCCCTCCCCTGCAGTGGCATGTCCCCTGCATGTGCGGTCTGCGCAGTGGCATGATACCCAGAGCCCCGTCTGGGCAGGGGACCCCCGCCAGGCTTGGGGTGGGGGAGGTCCTGTCCCAGCCTTGCCAGGCTGCCGCCAGATCAGCAGGAATGGAAATCTGAACGGGCTTGCCTGGAAGGCTGAGCGCATGCTCCGGCACCTCGAGCTGGGACCCCAGTCCATGTCCGGGAGAGGACCAGTGCGGTCCCCAAGGGACGCTAAAATGCTTCCGGGACCACTCTCCCCTGGGATTGCCACTGGAGGCCGAGTCACGTGGCTCTGAGGCTTTGTTCAGGTGGCACTGTAGGAAGATTCTGCCTGGCACTCCTCCACGTGCCCCGCCTCTGTCCATAAGGCGGGGGGTATCTGAGCACCCCACCGCTCTGGCTGCCAGGCCTGCTGGCAGAGCCCCCTCTCCTCTTCGTGGCCAGTCCAGACAGCCACAGCACCAGTCTGGCGGTGCCAGTTAATTGGGGACGGCATCTTGAGGACTTTCTTAGCTAGGCTGGCTTCAAACCACAATCCTCTGTATCTAAGCTTCCTGGGTAGCGGGGGTTACAGGCGTGAGCCACCAGTCTGGGTTCGTTTCAGATTTTCTAAGTTACAAGCATCCCACGGGGGCCTCCTGCATTCGCTGGTGCTGTAAGTTTGCTTTTACCTTGTGGCTTCCCGCCACCCCTGACATGGACTTTTTCCCATACTCATTTCCTTGATCTTGAACCTCTGGGTCCTTCTTCCCGGCCTGGCCTCTCTTCTTCCACACGGCTGCCTCTGAGCCTGCGGTCTGCCTGGCCCCGGCCTCCCCCGTGTCTCCTGGCTCACCACGTGCAGGCAGGCCACACGGGACCCTTTCAACTGCTCGGCACACACTCTCCTGGCCGGGCCCACGGCCTGCGTGGCCTAGCTACAGCCTCCCTGTTCTCCACACCCCAGCTGGCCCGGCTGGCCCTGTGGCTGCGGCTTTCTTGGCTCCTCTCCTGCCCTGCTCTCTCTTCTCCCTCGTCGCTGTGTCTGGGCTCAGCCTTGGCCTTCTTCTCTCCTTCCTCAGTGGTCTCTTCTGCTAAATACCACCCAGATGCTGACCGAGAGCTCCGTCTCTGATTTCTCCCTTGAACTTGAATACTCAACTGACCACAGTTATACATCACCAGTCCCACACCAAACCCTGGACCCCACCACTGGCAAGTGACCACAAGTCCTGAGCCACTGAGGCTAACGCTGAGGAGTTACTCTTGGGTCCTCATCCTTCCTCTTAGCAAGTCATTGATCTCCGTTCATCTGTTCATTGATTTCCTTCACCCTTTACCCTGCCCCGCCACCACAGCAACTCTTCCTTCCCTGTCCATTCTTGTGTTCCAGCCCTAACTCTCTGCAGTAGCCCCTGAGCACTGACAACTGTCAATCAGATCAGGTGACTCCTGTCTCCAGGGCTGCATTTCACTCCCTGAGCTCCCTGTAGGGCCTCTGACCAGGAATCCTGCTGCTCCGGGGCCTTGTCACTTATTTCCTTCAACACAGACAGTCAACCAGCTGCCTCTTTCACGCTAAGTCTTAGTCTCCATGTTACTGTTGCTTGACTTGAAGGGACCAAGAAAGCTTGACTAACTACCACATCCTGGTTGTGTATGTGTGTGTGTGAGAGAGAGAGAGAGGGAGAGAGAGAGAGAGAGAGAGAAAGAGAGAGAGAGATGTGTGTGTGTGAGAAAGAGAGAGAGAGGGAGAGAGAGAGAGAGACAGAGATTGTCTCCCGTCTGCAGTGTGACTCCTGTGAGCAGAGGCTGAGGTCCCGCTGCTCAAAATGCTCAGAAGACAAGAGGAGCTGAATGAGTGTGTGCTGAACAATGGACTTCCCAGACCAGTCTGCTGCAAAGATTCTTGGGAACACCAGACCAGCATGCGTGTCCCGAGGTACCTGCACCAGGAGCTTGAGGCGCGTGATTCTCTGGAAAGGCAGGATGAGGAAGGAGGAGAAGGGCAGGCCCCTGCACTTGGGGTCGAGTTCAAGCTGTGCGATCAGCTCCCGGAAGGCTGCCTTCTCCTGGCTGGGGAACACAGGGAGTCGGTCTCTGAGCTCTGTTCCTGGGGGCGGGAGGAGGAGGCGCTTCCTCCCCATCCCAGGCCCCCCCCTCCCCAACCCACCAGCTCAGGGGGGAAAAAACACCAAAAAACATGCCGAGCTCTCTCTCTCTCTCTCTCTCTCTTTCTCTCTGGCAAATGAACTGTTCATGTGCAAGTCACACAATAATAGTAGCTTCACGTGCCCAGCCCATGAAGACTTAGCAAATGGTGTAGTGCATGGGGAGGCGAGAATCCCGTGTGGGGCCAGGTCTCTGAGTCACACACACAATTAGATGTTGTCACCCAGCAGGAAGCTGTGGCAAGGTGAACCCACTGAGTGACAGGAACAGGCAGCTGGCTCAAGAGACAGCCTCCAGGACAGCCGGAGCTATTTCCAGCGAGAGGGCTTGGCTGTGGAGGGGCCCGGGGCTGGCCAGGGCCTCTGCTCCCACACATGCTCATCTGGTGCCGCGCCGCTGTGGGGTTCTTGGGTGCTACCATACATGGGCACCTCTTCTGCTGGATACTTGTCTTCTCAGTGTTTGATCTCAAAAATGGAACCCAGATTCCTTCCGAGTCCAACGTGCTCACACTTAGGGGTGAACACCAGACATGCATTTACTTTACATCTACAGTCAACTGCACGTGCGTGCGCATGCACACAGGGCCGATTATATGTCATGCTCAGAGCTATGTGAACGCTGGACCTGCACTCGGCAACATCCCCGCACGCATGGAAGCTGTGGGGAGCCCTGGATGGCTCCAGGAACCGAGCCTGGAGCCAGCAACCCAGAGAAACAGCTTCCCCCAGCCTCCCTCACGATGCTTTTCTTCACTTTAGCAACTGCCCATTGAGCACCGATGGTGACCTTCACACCAGTGCTGCACCGCAGCTGCTGTCACCGCTGGCCGGCTCCCTCAAACCTGTGTGGGTCCCTGTCCTACACAACCCCTGACCTTGCCTTTGCTCTGGGGACCTACCCCTACCCCGGGCCAATGGTCTCCGTGTGTCCCATACTGCACGCCTATTCCTCCTTCCACTAGTAATGTGGAAAATGACCACTCACAAAGTCCTTCGATGCCTCCACTAGAGCCAGGAGCCCTTTGGCTAAATCCTGGCCCCTTCGTCATGGTACCCAACACGAAGAATTCAAGAGACAAGTTGACTGAAAAATGATCGTGTCATCTAAAATCCCAAAGAAGGGGGCAGATGGACAGTCGCTCGAGGTCCCTGCTGATGACCAGCAAGCTCCTTCCTTGCCCTCACCACGCATCCAAACCCACCTTTCTGGTGCTGGCCTCAGCCTCTTTCTTAATCTCGCAGAACCTCGCTGGCTGGGCTGGACATGGATCTGGGGGACTAGGGCTGACTCTTGGGATCCAAGCTTGCTAGTGATGCCAACATAACTGGGAAACATGCCTGGTCCAGATACTGTCACCAGCCCGGCCCTGCGGAGGTGCAGGATGGAGGCGCCGCCCCCTGGGAGGGCAGCGGCCCCTCCGGCCGCCTGTGGAGCGGGCGGGGCACTCACAGCAGCTGCTTGTACGTCCTCTCCTGGTAGGTCTGGTTGCTGACGTAGGTGATGTAGACAGAGAAGTGGTCGGCCGCGTAGTGGTGCACGATGTCGCACACATCCGAGATGACGATGTTCTCCTCCATGCGGCGCTCCAGCTCCAGCAGGAAGCTGCAAGCGGCAGCAGGGGCGGAGGGGTCGGGAATGGCTCCCCTCGCTGGGTTTAGCCAGCACACAAAGTGGCGTGGGGGGAGGGTATGTGCGGGCGCCACCCGGGCCCCTCAGGGATTCCTGTGCGGCATTGGTGGGTGACAGGGTCAGGGGTATTGAAGGGACGGGGAGCAGGGCAAGAGCTTCAGCCCTGCGGCACGCACTGGTGTGCATAGAGGGGATGAATAGGAGTTTGCTTTGGGATGGGCTGCCAGAGGGGTGGGGACGGGCTGAACCTGGACCGCAGCCCGTGTGCCATCAGTGTCTCTACTTCTATGTGTTTAGAATTGTCTACCACAGCCAGGCGCTGGTGGCTCATGCCTGTAATCCTAGCTACTCAGGAGGCTGAGATCTGAGGATCGCGGTTCAAAGCCAGCCTGGGCAGGAGAGACTGTGAGACTCCTATCTCCAATAAACCACCAGAAAACCGGAAGTGGTACTGTAGCTCAAGTGGTAGAGTGCTCGCCTTGAGCTGAAGAGCTGAGGGACAGCGCTCAGGCCCAGAGTTCAAGCCCCACGACCGACAAAAAAAAAAAAAAGAATTGTCCACCACAAACTAGCAATCAGTGCGTAAACAACACATGTGGCAGCAGAGGCTCAGGGATCTCACTGCCCTGGCTTCCGGGAGCCGTCACCCCAAACTCAACGATGGGGTTGCACTCAGAGGGAGGGGTGCTCCAGAGTCTGTGGCATCCCCAAGAGTTACGTGATGATACTACCCCCGCGGGGGGTGGGGGTGGACACTGGCTCTACTACCTGAGCACAACAGGCTGGCCGCCCATCCCTGGGGACTGCTCTCTCCACACCCCATGGGCGGCAGCGAATTGCTCAGTGGGCACGTTCCCCTGGGGCACTGCCACAGAACCCACTGTGGGCCTCACGGGCTGAGGAGCGCTGGGCGAGAGGCTCTGACGGGCAGGAGGGTCTTCCAGTTCACTGGTGCTGATGGGAAGGGACTGGAATACCCCTGGATACCCTGCTGAAGGGCATGGCGATCCTTGGGGCAATTGTATTTTATCCTAGGGAAGTCTTGACATTCGAAGTTCAGAAACGCGTGTTAGAGGACGCTCGTCCGGCTCAGCATGCTGGGCGGGGAGGAGCACTCACCGCTCGCTAACGGCCATGACGTCCAGGACGTTGGAGAAGAGGATGTGGGCCTCGGACGGGTGCAGGATCTTCTTCAGCCGCTCGTTCTCCATGAAGTGGGACACCAGCAGGTTCAGGCTCTTGTAGTAGGAGGCCTCGGAGGTGACGAGCTCGAACATGGCCTGTGTTGGGGAGACAGAGGGCCCCGTCAGAGTACGGCCAGGAAGGCCAAGCATGCTCAGCCACAGGAGCACAGACAAGACGTGAGGATTGGGCATTCCCCTGCGGAGCCCAGCCGCACCCCACCGCTGCTGGCCTGTGCCTGTGCGGAGGGGACGACGCCCCTCCCTTGGGAAGCTCCCAGACTGCCCTGCCGTCCCCTGGGGACAAGCCAAGCTCCACGAGGTGCAGCAGAGCTAGGCCGCAGCCACAGGATGCCAGCCCGCATGGGCAGTGCAGAGACCGACAGACGTGGTGGGAAGGTGGGCAGATGGAGGGGAGCCCTGTCTTTCCACACTTAGAAAAACCTCTGATAGGCAACAGGGTCCAGGTAGCGAGGGTAGGCTATGGGGTGTTCTACCACTTGAGTCATGGCTCCACTTCCAGCTTTTTATTTTGTAGTTGAGTGGAGATAAGAGTCTCACGGGTTTTCCTGTCAGAGTTGGCTTTGAACCTTCATCCTCAGATCTCAACCTCCTGAGTAGCTAGGATGACAGGTGTGAGCCACTGGTGCTTGGCGACTCCTTTCTCCTAATCTTCTGATTTGGACATTTAATAATGAGCCTGTATTATTCCTTTTAGGGTCTGATTTTATTTTCAATATAGCAGTTTCTGTTTTGAAAAAGAAAGACACTCATCATCTACAAAGGGTATGCCTTTCTTCTGTCAAGATGAAGACTTGCCTACTGGAGCTACAAACACAATGAAACAGAGCGAGCTCTTCCCTCAGGTGTGTCTCACGGCCTGGGAGCAGGCCCGGGCTCAGCACCTTCTCTGCGTCCAGCGGGCCTTCCGGAGAAGAGCAGCCTGCACTGCCGCCTGCCTCTCCCCAGCATCCCCATCCCTTCAAGGCCCCCACAAAAGCTGTGCCCCGTCCTGCCCCCAGCACCCTGAGTGTGGCCTGGTGCAGAGATGGGGCCATTAGCTATGCATACTCTTGAGGTTTAGACCATCCTGAATTTGGGGTGAGCTCTGTCCAGTGCCCGGCATCTCCATGATGGAGATGCCGAGGAGATGGGGCACAGATGGCAGCCAAGACAGGGATCACCTGGCCATGAGCCAAGGACCTCTGGGAGCCACGAGGAGGAATTCTCCCCAGAGCCCCGCCAGCACCTCCTCTAGAGGCTTCTGACCTCTGCACCTTTGGGGCAGTGAGTTTCTGTCATCCTATGGCACCTAGTTTGTGGTGATTTCTCGCAGAAGTCCTCAGCAACCAATCTAGCCAGGTAGAGGTGGGGGGGGCGCAGTCAGCACCATGATGAGCATGCTCCTGTTTCTCCCCTGGGGTCTGCACGTGGAGGGAGGGGCGGAGGCTGGCGTGGTTCCCAGAGCACATGGACACCGGGGACCAGGGTCCCCCAGGAAGGAGGAGCTCAAGCTTCCATTTTACCAAAAGAAACAGAATCCTCAAAGCCACATTGACCTAAAGCTGGAGGAGCCAAGATGCAGCCTTTAGGGTGCTCCGGGTTTGGGGCTCTGCCGGACCCCTAGGCCAGGCTGAGCCGCAGCCAAGCTGGGGTTCGCTGGGCATTTGTAGTCCCTCTTTCCCATGAAGCCCTGTCAGCCAGCCAGCCTGGCGAGGCACTTCACAATGAGAAGCATGTTGGCACACTGCCACGGTGAGGTCCCGGGGCAAGCTGCCGCTCCCAGACCCTGGGCCCGTGCAGCGCCCCCTGCCGCTGACCGTGACGTCAGAGCTGCTGAGGGGGCGGAAAGGAGCCCACGGCCCCTGTAAGCAAGCGCCTCGCCTAGCTAAAACCACACAGCTTCTCCATGAGCGTGGCCCTTGGCCTCCTGAGCACTGGAAGTAGACTCTGGTATGCCCAGCTGCCTGTGCCCAGCCAGGACAAGTGGCCACAGGACACCAAGTGTCCAGGAAGCACTCTGCTATGGTGCTACCAGGCGTCCACCTCCTCGCTGCTGAGCTGAAGTTTCTCAGGCGAATGCCAAGCTTCCACCCTCCTAGGCAGCACAGGGCACAGTCCCTGCTGGTAGGGGCAGCAGTCAGCCACTTAAACTGCCTCTGGGCATCTGTCGGAGACCCCTGGGGACCGACGCACGCTCCGCCCTGGCTGGCCGCCTCCCAGGGTCCCTGCCTGGTGGCATCTTTGTCCTGATGTCAATGGAGACAGGGTCAGGAGGGGCCCAGCCTCTCAGCAGCTGGCACACAGCAGGCTTCGGCCTGAATCACTGCTAATTGATCCTGGCTGAGTCCATTCTGCCATGGCTCTCCCCCTTGCTACCCATTTATAGGCCGTTAGTCATCTGTGAATTGTCCTTCCACGGTGTTTTCCATTGTCTCCTCCTTATCAATACTCCAGTCTTCCCAGAGCCACCCACCCCTCCTCCACACACCCTGTCATCCAGGGCCTGGTGTGTGTGTGCCTCTGTGTGTGTGCATGTACGTGTGCATGTGTGTGTATGTGTGTGTGTGTGTAGAGTATGGTTTGGAGGTGAAGTTCCTCCAAAGGCTCATGTGTTGAAGGCTTGGTCCCCAGCTGGTGAGGAACTGGAGGAAACAAGCCACTGGGGGCGTGTCCTCTGGATTGCACCCTGAGCTATCCCGCCGCCCGCCCCCTCTCAGGTGTTCATCACTTTCATCATACACTGTGTGTGTGTGTGTGAGCACGCATGAAATGAGTGTGAGTGAGTGCAAGCAAGTAGGAATGGGAAGGAATGAACATACCTAAGGGTGGACATGAACATGTCTGTGTGAGTGCACAGGTGAGTGTGTAAGAATGAGCCTGATGGGAGGGAGTAGGGGTGAGTGTGAACCAGGGTGTAGGAGGGGCTATGTGCGCACACTCACGCCCGTCCTGAGGCTGCCCTGGCCTTGCTCCGCGTCCCGTGGCTGCGCTGTGGGCCAGGCTGCCGGACCTTCTTCACAGGGAATAAGACTGACCCAAATTTTATGAATTGCCGCTTGCTCTGGGCTACCTGCCCGATGGCCGCCAGTCTCCTGTGTCCTCCTGGGATTTTCCACCACGGCTACTACCAAGCTGTCACCCCAGAGTCCTAGGGTAACACCAGGTCGGCCAGGGCTCCTGCGGGGCCCTCACGCGTGGCTTTCGCTGGGACACGTCTGTCACTGTGGGCAGTCTTGGGGACACCAAGGGCTGCCAGCATGAGCGATCGCCGTTGGAACCTGAGTATCCGGGTGTGCGACATGGGAACACAGCCCTGTCTCCTCAGCAGCGGCTCAGCCGGGAGCTCCCCGCCGCAGAGCGCCCGCCTTCCCTGATGGGAGAGAGTTGGTGGGGCGCAGGACTGGGGTGGAGGGCTCCACACGGGTGCCACAGTCCAGCGAGGGGCCAGAGGCACCGGTTTGTACTTTGAGGGGAGGATGGACGGCAGGGGTGGGGTGCAGGGGAGACAAAAGGGGATTGCGGCGGCGGCTTAGCTCAAAGCACCTGCTCTGCCTTCCCACACAGCCTGTGGAAGGGCCACACCCTTGTCCCCGCTAGGTGCAGACAGTCTCGAGGGGATTAGATTTGTCTCTGACACAGTGAGGGGCATCGCCCTCTATGCAGCCTGCCTCGGTGTGGGGGAGGCCCAGGACGGAGGCCAGAGGCCAGGGAGCAGGCCCATCCTGTGACACAGCCCAGCCCCGGAGCCTGGGTGTGAGGCCCAGAGACAGAGGACACCCCAACTCTGCAGCAGCAGCAGGGGATGACGCAGAGGCACCCCAAGAATCCCTGAGGAAGAACCTGCCTCTGATGGACGAGAGCCCTGCACTCCATGCACAGGCGGCCGGTGTGCTCTACGCTGGGCTGGGTCCCTGCCACGCTCTCCGGGCAGTGTCCACCCCACCACGCTCTCTGGGCTGTGTCCACGCCTGCTCCTGCCGCCCAGCTGTGTCTCCAGAATCAGCAGAGCTCAAGGGGGGCCTCGGCCTCCCACCTTCTCCTAGAGTCCAGAGCAACATGGAGCCCTGGCTGGGGCTTCCCCAGCCTTAGGAGGACAGGGGAGGGGGCAGGCGTCTATGAGGGTCAGAGTTCAGATCCTGAAATTTGTCCCGGCCGGATGAGGGAAGCGCGGGGCCTGGCCCCAGATGCTCTTGGGAAGCTGGAAGGAAGTTGGGTCCCTGGGGTGTGATCAAAAGAGACTGTGGGACCCCTGCCCCTTCCTTCCTCTGCTTCCTAGAGGCCTCGAGGTGGAGCAGCTTCACCCCAGCCCACACCCCGCACCAAACAACAAACAGACCACCTGGCCACGAGACAAGTCAAAATACAAGTCCACACCTCCTGCAAGCTTGGCTTATCCCAGCTATTTTGTCACAGGTAGAGAACGCGGGCATGCACAGCGTGTGAGAGGAGGCTCACCAGAAACCAACCCTGCCGGCACCTCAACCCTAGAAGGCCGCACCCCTGAACTGCAGGGAAGCAAGTATCTGCTGTCCGTTGGGGCCACTGAGCTGAGACCGCCTGACCCCTCACCAGCCCCAAGAACGCCTCCTCTGTGGCTCCGGCCTCTGGGACGATCCAACAAAAAACCACCCCTCACTGTCCCCACCGCCAACACTACTTGGGAAGCGCTGATTCCGCACTGGCCCACCCCGCCCCCAAGCAGACGTCCCTGTGATTCGCCAAGGCCTCTGCCACCGCCCCCCCCCCCCAGCCTCAGGCAGGACCTCTCTCCCCTCACTGAGAAGAGCGCTCCCTGCAGTTTCCAAGCTCTTGCTCCTCCCTTTCCTCGGCTGGCTCCCTTCCTTTCCCACAGGAAGCGGGGCCAGCACCTCGGGAGGGCTGCAGGTTAGGAAGAAACCTCTGGAAAGGTGGGATGGTACAGGGTGGAAAACACCCGGCAGTATGTCTGTGAACGGCCAGCAGGGGCGCAAGTGAGCAGCCTTGACTGGGTCCTGGAGCCAGGCCAGGGTCTGGGTAGGGGCCATGATGCCCACCACCCGCACAGGTTTAAACCCCAGTTGTAGCAAGGCCATGCTGGCCAGCGGTGTGCTCTCTAG